TCCTTCCTTCCTTCTCCTTCCTTCCTTTTTTGCTTTTTCAAGACAGGGTTTCTCTGTCTAACAGCTCTGGCTGTCCTTGAACTCACAGAGACCTGCTTGCCTCTGCCTCCCAGGTGCTGGGATTAAAGGCGTGAGCCACTACTGCCCTGGCCCATTTCAATTTCTACCCCCAACCCCAAATTGATCTAATATGTAATCCTTTTTATTACCCACCCTATGTCTCTCCCAATCTTACTAACTAAAATCAAAGTCTCCGCCCTACTACCTGTTCCTCAACAGTTACTGACATCAGTAACTACAACCCATGACCTGGGCAGTCAGACTTCTGCACAGTGCTGTGATCAAACAGCGACTGTTTCTCTCAAGTCAAACTCCTACTCAGGGAACGATAGAATTTTTACACCAGGCACCCTGAGCTTGTGAATTATATACTCTATTCTAGCATATCCAAGTCCATAGGAATAGGGGACTTTAACTGAAAGAATATAGAAAACAAAGCCAAGAAACAAAATAACACTATTTGGAAAACCCCTAATGAGGTTAAGACTAAAAAATCCTGACAATAGAACTCCTCCAAAAATTATTAATAATAATGACATCTAGTGAAATTAGATGAAATCCCAGTGAACTCAGTGTAAGAATACGTTCAACATGAAAACACCCAAACAAAATAGGCAAAGCGATGGGTGATATAAAGGAGGGAGGGTTTCAACAGAAAGAAATATTGAAGAAAAATCAATCTGAAATGTTAGAGAAATATAGTAAAAGTCAAAAAGCTTTGCGGAAAGTCTCAGTAATAGAACGGATCAAGGAGGGGACAGATACCCGAGCTTGAAGAAAAGAGCAGTAGAAACCATAGAATACACACAAACTCATAGAGATCAAACAACACAACCGAACAATGAATTCAAACAATAAACAAAAAACATTCCTAGAATCAAATGAAAACACAATACACCAAACCCTTGAGATACAATAAACGAAGTTCTAAGAAGAAAGTTTATAGCTCTAAGTGCCTACATTAAGAAACCATAGAGACTCAAATAACTTAATGATGCACCCCTAAAGCTCTAGAAAAAGAACTAGAAAGCCAAACTCTAAACCAGTAGAGGAAAAAAAATCATTAAGATTAGGGTAGAAATTAATGAAATGGGACAAACAACAATTCAAAGAATCAACAAAACAAAAAGTTGGTTTTTTGAAGACACAACAAATGTGTAAACAACTCTAAATCGACTCAGCAAACTTTATTTATGTATTTAGTTGTTTATATGTGTGATGGTTTGAATGAGAATGCCCCATAGGCTCATATATTTGGATGCTTGGTTTGCAGTTAGCAGAACTGTTTGGAAAGAATTAAGGGTTATGGCCTTATCCCTTGGTGTGGGCTGTGAGGTTTCAAAAGTCCAGCCATTCCCAATTAGCTATTTCTTTCTGTCTCTGCCTCCTGCTCAAGGATCAGATAAGTAAACTTTGAGCTTCTGCTCTGGCACCATGCCTGCCTGGCTGCTGCCATCATGATGGTCATGGGATTAAGGGCATGTGCCACCATGCCCAGCCTGAATAGTTATATTTAGGTTTCTATCCATACGTTATTTATGCTGCTCTGAGTTTTAGTCACAAAATCTTTTCTGCAATGGCTGATAATAAAGAGACTAATAACTGGTCAAACTGCTGCGAATAATTGTGTGAGTGCTCACTAACTCACCTCCAGCCTGAAGACCTGGTAAACACCTCAGAAAAGGAACTGAAGGAGTGTGAGTGCTGGAGAATAGGAGGAGTGCTGTGAAATGCTGTCTTCTTGGTGTGGTATGGCCTTTGCACGCATGAACTAGCATCAGCTGTGTTACCTAGACTTGCACAATCTCAGCTCCCACTGAGAGTTGCAGGGACAGAGAACCCCTCAGTTCCCCTGCAGCCCATGCTTTGGGGATGTCACCAGTGGTACATTGTTATACCTCTGCCTCCAGAGTGCTGGGATTAATTAAAGGATTAAAGGTAGGAAACTACCTAGTTTCCTTTTGTAAAATATAAATACCAGCAATTTATAAAGAATAAAGTAATCAGAATGTACTTTTATAGCAAGTAAATACTAGTTTTCAAATTCTTAAATAAGGAAAGTCTGTATTTAAGACAACAGGGATGTAGTGAGACTATGGGAAGTTCAAAATTTTATATTCAGAAATATTGCAACAGTTTGGTATTTTCTCACTTTACAAAAATTATGCTAGTTATTTTTTTATTACTTTCTGAATTCTAGTTGTTGTTGCTAAGTGAACTAAAACCTTAAAGATTAGCATAATCACAATTATTGCACACTTTCTTGATTTAGGAGCAAACATTCATACTCAGAGAAAACTTACCTGTTTCACATTGTATCCTGCTTTTGCACTGGTTTCAATAAACATAACGTTCAACTCTTTGGCTTTCCTCTCTCCCTCTTCAATTGACACTTGCCTATAGAAAAAAATTAAAAGACAAATTATTTGTTTTTTTTTGAGACAGGGTTTCTCTTTGTAGTCCTGGAACTCCCTCAATTCGAACACAAACTCACAGAGACTTGCCTGCCTCTGCCTCCCAAGTGCTAGGATCAAAGGTGTGAATCACCATACGTGGCAACAAATTCTTTTTTTTGAAAGAGGAAGCCCTAAGATTATAAACAAAGTTCTATTGATGTCGGGTCATTAGTTTGAAAACTTAACTGTCTGTAGCACTTAAGAGTTGTACGTGTTTGTGTTTGTATATCTCACCCTGATGTAGGATCCCCCTCTGTATGCTGTGAATACCATTGGTTAATAAAGAAACTGGCTTGGCTTGACAGTGTAGAACAGAGCTATGGGGTGGAGGTGGGGGGAGAAGAACCAAACTGAATGCTGGGAGAAAGAAGGACAGAGTCAGGGAGAAATCATGTAGCCCTGCTGGAGACAGATGCCGGAACTTACTGGGTAAGCCATAGCCTTGTGGAGATACACAGAAATGGGTTAAATTAAGATGTAAGAGTTAGCCAACAAGAAGCTAGACCTAATGGGCCAAGCAGTGATTTAAATAATAGTTTCTGTGTGGTTATCCTGGGGCTGGGCAGCAGAAACAAACAAGCGCCATTCTACAACATCACCCCCATACTGGGAACGGAGTCTTAAACACGTTAGACAAGAGCCCTACCAATGAGTATATACAGCTTAATGGATTTTTTATTTCTTTTAAAAATTGTGTTTCCATAGCTATTATGTGGTGGCCCACTTTATTCCTTTGGTCTAATTTTGGCTTGAAATTTGTTTTGTTACATATGAATAAAGCTGCTGCACCTTGCAAAAAAAAATTGTGTTTCATGTGTTTAGGTGTTCTGCCTATGACTACTCACCACATGCATGATCAGTACCTAATGAAGGTGTTCAGAAGAGAGCAACAGAGCCCTTGGTGCTATAGCTAAAGATGTCATGGGAGTCCTGGGAATTGAACCCAGGTCCTCTGGAAAGAACAGCCAGTACTTTTGACTTCAGCCATTTCTTCAGCCTCTTAATGACTTAAACAAAACCAAACTAAAACAAAAACCAGAGTTTCAGACCAGATGAGGTGGCATATGCCTTTAATTCCAGAACCTTTTTTTTTTTTTTTTTTTTTTGGTTTTTCAAGACAGGATTTATCTATAGCTCTGGAGCCTGTCCTGGAACTAGCTCTTGTAGCCCAGGCTGGCCTCGAACTCACTGAGATCCGCCTGCCTCTGCCTCCTGAGTGCTGGGATCAAAGGTGTGTGGCACCACCACCACCCGGCCTTTTTTTTTTTTTTTTTTTAAATTACAGCACTTAGGAGGGAATCAAAAGTCTGACATTGAGACCAGCCTGGTCTACAGAGTGAGTTCCAGGACACCCAAGGCTATAAGGAGAAACCCTATCTCAAAAACAAACAAAAAACTAAAACAAGACAGGGGCTCCTGTAGCCCAGGATGACCTTGGGCTTCTGATCCTCTTGCCTCAACTGGAAACAAGACATTACATGGGAATGCCACGCCATTCATCAGGCACAGTCTCTGACAGAGCCGGAGCCTTGTGCATGTCCTAGCTAAGCTGTAGGCCCATATTTCTGTATGGCACAAGAGCCATAAGCCCGGTCTGAGGTGGTCACGAACTCTGCAGACAAGCTGGAGGTGCTGCTCCTAGTTTCTTTAGTTATAATGTAGATCACCTGAGAAGAGATGTTGGTTGAAGCTGATGACTTAAGAGTTAAAGAGGGCTGGTGCTTCCTCCCTTTGTAATTTGGAGGATGTTTATAGAGATGCTCATTCATGGCCTATGTGACTGCTAGCATACAGGTAGAAGCGGTCGTGACTTGAGCCCATTCACCTGGTTGCCTAGGAGACAGCCTAATGTGTTTTCCCGCTCAATTGATGTGATGATATATAAGGTGTTTGGATGTTCGAGAGATCTTGTCCTTCCATGATGACTGTGTAAGCTGCGACTGATTATTCCTCGCGACTCCATTCCAGTCCAGTTAGGGAATCTGTATTGGACCCACATGGGCCCCAACACTAAGTCCCCAGTTTAACAACCCGTGTGTGCAGGTGAACAGGTATGCATCCCTACCCCTTGGACAGGTCTCTCCCTACAGGGCTGGCAGTCCCAGCAATCCTTCTCTCTCTGTGCACTCAGCTCTGGATTAATGAGAAGGTCTGACCACAGATGACTTCTTAAGTGCTAGGAACTGAATTCAGGCCTTCATGCTTGCATAGCATGTGTTCTTTTAAAAACATATTAATTTTATACCCTGACTACAGTCTCCCCTCCTCTGTATTTGCTCAGAAAGGGGCAGGACTCCCATGGCATATCAAGCTGCCACAAGACAAAGCACCTCCCCTGATGTAGGAAGTCCTTCTGTGTATGTGTTGCCTTTATTGGTTAATGAATAAAAAAATCTGCATTGGTCTGTGATAGGGCATAGCAGAGCTAGGCAGGGAAAACTAAACTGCTGGGAGGAAGAAGGCAGAGGGAGGAGATGTCATGCAGGTGCCAGAGGGGAAAGACACGAGCTGGCAGGTGGAACCTTGCCAGGAGGCCACAAACCTCGTGGTAAAATATAAACTAATAGAAAAGGGTTAATTTAAGATATGTTAGCCATAAATACACTTAAGCTATTGGTCAAACAGTATTGCAAATAGTAGTTTCTGTGTGGTATTTCAGTTCTGGGCAGGTGGGAATGAACAAGCAGCCTAATACAATACCCCCCTTGTACTGAGGCTGGGCAAGCATGAGGAAGATGTTCCCAAGAGCCAAAGTACCAGGGGTAGCCCCTGCTCCCATTGTTAGGAATCCTACAAACAGACCAAGCTACACAACTGTCACATATACGCAGAGGGCCCAAGTTGGTCCCATGCAGGCTCCCTGGTTGATGGTTCAGACCCTTCAGTTCCTGTGAACCAGGCTAGCCTTTCTATGGGTTTTCCTCTGATGTTCCCGATCCTCTCTGGCTCCTATAATCCTTCTTCCCCCTTCTTCAGCAGGACTCCCCGAGCTTGGGCCAGTGTTTGGCTGTGGGTCTCTGAACCTGTCTCCATCAGTCAATGGATGAAGGCTCTCTGCTGACGACCAGGGTAGTCACCAATCCGATCCCAGCCCGTTCAGGCTATGCATCCACTGCTGCCAGGAGACTTAGATGGGGCCAGCAGTGTAGACTAGTGGAAGTTTCCCTATAGCAAGTGCTACAGGACCATCTCCCCAGCTGTATAAAACTAAGATTTATTTTACTAATTTGTTTTTATATGGCTGAACTCATTGGATGCTTTTGTTGGAGGTAGAATCTCATGTATCCTTCCTTGGCTGGCCTAGAATTTACTAGCCCAAGATGTTTTAAATTTCTGATCTTCCTGCCTTCACCTTTCAAATTCTGGAATTACAGGCATACTTCATCACACCTGGCTATAAACAGTGTTGGGGACTCAAACGCAGACAAGTATATGCGTGTCTAGTTATTGTGCATGTTAGGCAAGTACTCGATCAACCGACACCTTCAGACCCAATCTTCTCATTTAAAAAATATTTGTCTGTGTACACGTGTGGCATACATGTGGAAGTCAGTTTCTTCTTTTCCCACGTGGACCCCAGGGATCAAACTCAGGTCATCCAGTTTCATGCCAAGGACCTTCATCTACTAAGCCATCACTAGCCTGCTCTTCTTTTTACTTTTAAAAAGTTAGTGATTGGGCTGCACGTGGTGGCTTATACCTATAATCCCAATTCTCAGGAAGGAGGCAGGAGGATCCTGAGTTCAAGGTCAGCCTAGTCTAGGTAGTTCTAGGTCTGGGCTTAAGAGTAAAACCATATCACAAATACAAACCCAAAACAAAGCAAATCTTTTTTTTTTTTTTTCGAGACAGGGTTTCTCTGTGGCTTTGGTTCCTGTCCTGGAACTAGCTCTTGTAGACCAGGCTGGTCTCGAACTCACACAGAGATCCGCCTGCCTCTGCCTCCCGAGTGCTGGGATTAAAGGCGTGCGCCACCACCGCCCGGCTAACAAAGCAAATCTTAAGAAGCTGGCTCAGTGGTTTAGCATGTATTATATTCAGTATTGCCACCTACAAAACAAAACCTAAAAATGGCCTGCTTTCCCCCCTTAATACCAAATCACAAGGGGGATGGAGAGATGCTTGGTGGCTAAAAGAACTTGATGCTCTTGCCAGGTTTGGTTCCTAATACCCATATCTGGCAGCTTACAACTGTCTCTAACTCCAATGAATTAGTCTGATGCCATCTTTTGGTCTGAGTGGGCACCTGAACACATGCAGTGCATATACAGACAAGGAGGCACACTCATGGTACACATATACACATAAATAAAAAACACTAAAAATATTAAAACCATATGCATTTAGCCTTGTGACTCTAAATTTTATGTAAAAACTTTCATGCTAATTTGCTGCTATAATTTTTGTAATGATTTACCAAATGTTAAAAATGTAAACCATACCAGGTGGCAGTGGCTAATGTCTTTAATCACAGCACTCAGGAGGCAGAAGCAAACAGATACTTCTAAGTTTGGAGCTAGCCTGGTGGTCTACAAGAGTAAGTTCTAAGATAGCCAAAGCTACACAGAGAAACCCTATCTCAAAAACATTTTTTTTTTCCAATTATACTACCAATTCTATTTCTGCTACTGGATAGAAGTAGTTTTAACATCAAAATTCTTTATACATAGATTACACTGCAATATTTTAGTTTAATAGCCCAAGTTCATCACCCGAATTTCAATATCCAACTCATGAATGAGTAAGTAATAAATAGTAAATAGTAATAAATAGTAAAAGCTCCACTAACTAAAAAGTGTGGTCAAGACTAAGCAGAAAGAACGTACAACGGAGCACTGACCAATGCTGAGGCCATTCGTGCCTGGAATGAGCTTTGCTCATATGACTAAGGTGCTACAATCAAGCTGTTCATACGCCTGGTACAACCACACAATCAGAACCCCACAAACACATACAGACCACATCACTCAATTATAATAAAATTATATGTTAATAAGACAAGTATATGCATGTCTAATTATTATGAATACTTTTTAAAGATAAGAAGTTACTTGGTGTTACTTTTTAACAAATCATTGCTCCACTTATTAAACCTTAAAAAAATAGAAAATATTTGCTGTCTTCATGTTTAACAATTCTGTAAAAGTGCTGTTTATGGGTTTAGACAAAACAAATGTAATTTAATCTTTATACTTATATTCAGATTATCTCCCTAAAAAGGAGTACAAATTGAAATGTCTCCTTTTCTGAAAAATTTTTTAGTAAACAAACATGGTGTTTAACATAGAAACCAAGCAGTCAGATATTTCATACCTTTTATCAGCAAGATCTGTCTTATTTCCTACTAGCATGATGATGACATCACTTCCTCTTTCTGTTCTGACATCATCAATCCATTTTGTAGTCTGCTGGAATGAGTTAACATCTAGCATTGAGAGTGGACAGAAGGATTAGTTACTGAAAATGCCACCCCAGGGAAGGACAACACTCCCCACAAACACCCTGAAAGAGGGGAGAGGGACAGCACATTAAGACCCCATCTTTAATGTGCCTACAGTGTAACTCCATTGTATCTGATTATAGCTGTCAGTGATGCAAATGAGTCTGAAGAAGAAAAAAATCCTCAAAGTTCATTTTAGAGAAAAGCTCTTTTGACAATAACCAAACTCCTGCAAAGCACTATTAATTATAAAAACCAGTGTTCTGACATCAAGACAGCTCAGCAGATAATATGGCGTCACACTGCCACAATGCTCTTCTGGATCACTTATTCTAATACATACCACATGACAAAGAAAGCATTTCAGAAGTATGTGAGCCAGAAGTCCCGACACATCCCAGAGAACTCATAAAGGCTTTCAATCCCAATGTGCTTGCATTGCTTACTCAGTTTGTGATCACTTTAACCGTGTTTTTAAAAATCCTTTCCCTTGCCTCTATCTCCCTTCTCCTGGAATTGAAGGTGTGAGTCATGGAGCCTGGCTCTTGCATTTGTTTTGTATTAAGAGTCGATGTGAAGTGACCTTAAGTTGATTAGTTTGATGGATCAGGCTCACTTCTAACTGAATTCATTCTTTAAGTATTGGATTCTAGCCAGAATACTTCAATATGTTTTTTAGCAGCTAAAGTAACAAATTTACTACCATTTTAAACACATCCGTGGAATTTTAGAAGAAAAGTGTAACAAGCTTTGGTTAAAGTAAACACAAATACTTAAAGCTACAAAACGAGCAAACGCATTATGATGAACATTAACTGTTTTTTAAAAAAACAAGTTGCAATCTAAAGTAAAACTTGAAGAGAAGACTACAAACAGCACATATCCAAAAGTTAAAAAAAAAGGAGAAAGAAGCCGGGCGGTGGTGGCGCACGCCTTAAATCCCAGCACTTGGGAGGCAGAGGCAGGTGGATCTCTGTGAGTTCAAGACCAGCCTGGTCTACAGAGCTAGTTCCAGGACAGGCTCCAAAACCACAGAGAAGCCCTGTCTCGAAAAACCAAAAAAAAAAAAAAAAAAAAAAAAAAAAAAAACCCAAAAAAAAGAGAGAGAGAGAGAGAGAAAGAAAAATACATTGTGGAATATAGTCTTTTTAATATTGCCACTGTAGTTACTGTTTAGTAACTATGACTTCTGAGTGAATATACAGAAATTTCTAGTAATATGACTAGCTCAAATCAGCTCTTAGACATATTTTTTTACCTAAGTCCAAGATGCTGTAAATAATCTTTTTTTCCCTATAAATTATGGACTAGTCTATGGAATGATGTTGAATTCTGCCTTACATGTATAATAAAACACTTTACAAAGATAATTTCAACCAGACAGCTGTTGCCAATGCTCCAGGGAAATTTTGTAGTCACTTAAAGACCAAAACACTTCAGGTTTTGAAGAAAAGAAAAACAAATACTATGGGGCTGGAGAGATGGTTCAGTGGTTAAGAGCAGTGGCTTCTCTTCTAGAGGTCCTAGTTCAATTCTCAGAGCCCACATGGTGGCTCACAAGCACCTATAATGAGATCTGGTGCCCTCTTCTGGAGCGCAGAATGTTGTATACATAATAAATAGATCTTTAAAAAATACTGTTTCATTTCCCATTTAAATTTTTTCTTGGAGAGAAATGAAAGCGTAATTTGTTAGCAACAAAGAAAACCAGCCACAGAATCCACATATTCAAACAAAAATGACTAACAGAAAAATATACATTGTGCTTCTCTGTTTTTCTCTATGCAAGAAATTGACTGCAAGAGGGAAGCAGAGAAAACACTAGCAGGCAGACTCTTTTAAAAGCCTGGAAAGAAGCCATACAGAATCTAGAATATTTGGCAAGAGGTTTAAATATAGATTATCTTTGAAATCTGAGATAAATTAATGAGTAATACCTAAATTTAAAGTACAATTATGGGATAGTTTATGGATAGGAGGATACTACAGAAACCTTGAAAAGGATCTGTAAATAGAGTCAAGACAGGTTCTGACGGTGGAAGCGCTGGCACAGAGACAGAAAGCACTGGCACAAACATGGAGGCACGTATTTCTGACGTGGCTAGTCTGTGATACAACACTTTACATGCCAGTAAGGAAAACAAGCACAAGACAAACATGCATGCAGCTAAGCTAGGGTGAAGGAGATCAGAAATGCGCACCCCCACTCACTTGTGATATCATAAACAACAACTGCCACAGTGGAGTCTCGAATGTAGCTAGGAATCAAGCTCCTGAACCGCTCTTGACCTGCTGTGTCCCACAATTGCAATCGCACCTAACAACAAAATCAGTCAAACAAGCGAGAACAGTAAGAAAGGTCAGCACTGCAGTACACCTACTTGTGATGTCGTAAACTACCACGGCTGCAGCAGAGTCTCGGATGTAGCTGGGAATGAGGCTGCGGAAACGTTCCTGACCCGCAGTATCCCACAGCTGCAGCCTGATCTGTGGGACGGGAAAAAAAATAAAAACAAAAACAAAACAGAACTGAACTAAAAAACTGGTACTTGAAAAAAAAAAAGGAATGATTTTTGAAACACGAGTGGTAGACAACTCATGTAAAGGTTTAATGCAGAGGAAGGAAAACAACGTGAACTCATTTCTGAAAAGTGAGCAGCAGCACAAAGCTGCTTGTTCTGAAGGTACGCTGTGAGAGACTTTACAGGATCAGAAACAGGGCTCCCCCTCCATGAAATTTTGAATCCCGGTATCTTCTAAATGATAAAAAGTAAACTGCTCATGTTCAAATACTGAGAATAAAGAGAGAATGAAGGAACCCCAAGCTACCAGATGACAGAGGAAAGAAAGCAATGCTCATCTGATAGCTTCTCTAAAGCCATGCAATGTTTCCTGGGTCTGTGACTATGTGTGTTTCTTCTATACATTTCTGCCCAGAACACTGTGGATAATAGGGGAGGAGAACAAAAAGAAAATAAAAGGAAAAAAAAAAAAAAGAGAGAGAGAAAACATTTCTGCAATCTATATAAAAAATAAGTTTTCTTACCCATATAAAGCAGTTTAAGCTCTCAAGTTTTAAGAAAAGTTATATATGAAAACATCCAAAAGAAAAAAAAACATAATTCAGAAATAAGAAAAAAATATCAGAGATAATGTAATATTTTGGGAACATTAAGTTATTCAATGTTTAAATGATAAGAATCTCTTCAAGGAGTAGGTCAAAACATAAATTTTTAAAAGAACATTCAACAATAAGGAAGATAAAAAACCTGATAAATATATATTTTCCTCTACTTAACCACTGTTACATGTTCTAGTCTGACAAAGTCTTTAAGTTCACAATTATGAAACCTTCCTGAATGACCTGAGGGGTGCTCAGAGTCTTTAGAAGCTCTAATTTCTCATGAAAATTCTTTTAATTCTTTAATAAATCTATGTGTTGTCCTTTTTTCTAAATCAAGATAGCAAAGTAAGTCTACGGACACCAGAATTTTACAAACAAATTTTAACTTTGGATGTGAAACGGAAATAAGAAATCAGAGTGCCAAAAACAACTTTGTAATAAATTTTTCTCAAGATCCAATTTTGATGATTTTGTTAAGCACTTCTGATGGCGACCACAGCTTTGATCCTGGTTTCCAGCCTGCAGTGTGCAGAAAATTGCACACTGAAAATATTACTCACTGTTCGATCCTCCAAGTACATTGTTTTTGATAAGAAGTCAATGCCAATTGTTGCCTATAAAACAAAACAAAAGAGTTAGTAAGGAATAATAGTTTGGTGGTAGTCAACAGTTTAGGGTAAAATAGGATTTATGAGTTTAAAAAGAATAATGAATATACACATAGCCACACTTTATTCAAGTGGCGACAAACATGTCCAATGTTAACCTGCTTCCATGTACTAAGCACTCGCTGTGTGTTGACTAATTCAGGCCCTTTATGTGATCAACTCTCATCCTCATTCATGAAAGATAACTCATTCTCACACTAATTTTTTTCATTTTAGAGAACAAGGCAATAGGGATTTTTTTTCTATGTACCAGAATATTCAAATGTCTGAATATCTTCCTGTTCTCAATCAGGATGACTATTATTTGCCCCAATACTGTTGATGTAAAGATAACCATGACTAAACTTCCTATATAATGGCTTGTTCTTATGCCACAAAGACTCAGAGGGACATGACTCTTCCAATATGTAAGTAATGTATTAACGTAAGGGAAATAAAATTTTCTCTTTATCATTCAATGCTAAGAATCTCCTGTGGTTCAAACACAGTACACTGTGTGCCTGGTTAAAAAGGCAAAAACTAGAAAAAAAGTGAACAAGTTAAGAAGTCTAAAATTAAATAGGAAGATAAATTAAAAATAATTGGGATATGGGGTTGAAGTTGACAGCTCAGCAGTTAAGAACAGTTCTCTTGCAGGAAAGCAAGCTCACTTCCCAGCACTCACATAGTGGTTCACGACCATCCATAATGCCAGTTCCAGGGGATCCAATGCTCTCTTCTGATCCCATGGGCACAAAGCATGCTCGTGGTATGCATACATACATGCATACTCACACATAAAATAAAATGAGTAAATCTAATTTTAAAAGAAAAAGAGGAAAAAGGAAAAAGGCATCTGCATGCTGGCATGTCCCTCCCTGCTTCTGATGCACTGACAAGTGAACTGATTAATCCACTGTAACTTTCCTGTCAGGATGGCCTGAATCCTCTGACATCATAAACTGAAATCAATTCCTAAAAAGGAACCTCAGACTTGTGATTTTCTCTACCAAAATAAATAAATAAATAAATAAATAAATAAATAAATAAATAAATAAATTATTATCGCTTCTAATTCCCTCCAAGATGACAGTAAAGATAATTTTTCAAAAGGCTGTGGAAGAGGCAAACTGAGTAAGGCTAGGACTACGAACAAGATTTATATAATAATTTACACATTGTGTTGTTTATGTAATAGTTTACACATTATTGAAAGCACTTTCCCCTTTTTTTTATTTTTCAAGACAGGGTTTCTCTGTGTAGCTTTTGGTTGTGCTACAATGGAACTCGAGATCCACCTGCCTCTGCCTCTTAACTGCTGCGATTAAAGTCGTGAACCACCACTGCCCATGGAAAGCACTTTTATATCTATGACTGCATGTAAATAAAAGAACTTAAAAAAATACCATAACCATTCCTCTTAATATTAAGAGATAAATTTAATAATCTGGAAAAACCAAAATACCTGATAGGTGTTGTCAAAACTGTCATACATGAATCTGGTGATTAAGGATGTCTTTCCAACTGAAATAAAAAAAGAAAAGAGATTTCCTTAGTAAGTAATATATTAAATACACTAGGTTCCCAGGCACTGCTCAAAGAACTGTAATCAAATGGAAAATATATTCAAAGGTTTGATGGAGGAAGGTCATTGCAATAAAGAAACTGCTTGGCTGGCCCTGATAGGTTAGAACATAGGTGGGAGGAGTAAACAGGAGGAAGAGGAAGTGAGGTCAGACTCTGCTCTGCTCCTGGAGAGACCCGACAGCTCCGCTCTCTAGAGCAGAGACGCCATGCTCCGCTCTCCCGATAGCTCTGCTCTCTGAGGCACACGCGATGAAGCTCCGACCCAAGATGGACATAGGTTAGAATCTTCCCGGTAAGCGCACCTTGGGGTGCTTACACACATTATTAGAAATGGGTTAGAACAATATATAAGAGCTAGCCAATAAGAAGCTGGAACTAGCCGGGCCAAGCGGTGTTTAAATGAATACAGTTTGTGTGTTGTTATTTCGGGCATAAGCTAGCCAAGCGGCCGGGGTGTTGGGGACGCAGCCCTGCCGCCGCTCCCTATTTCAACAAAGGTTTTTATCAAAAGTTTGCTGACAGGGCTTTCTCAATAACAGATTCCATGACAAAATCAGATTTAAACAATGCCTATCCACAAATCCAGCCCTACAGAAAATATTAGAAGCAAAATCCCAACCCAAGGAAGCTAACTGTACCCACAGGAACACAGGCAACAGATAACCTCATACTAACAAAACCCCAAGAGAAACACACTCACTACCACTGAAAAAAATAACAGGAATTAACAATCAGTGGCCATTAATATCTCATAATAACAATGGACTCAATTCACCCATAAAAAGACATAGGTTAAAAGAACGGATATGAAAGCAGGATCCAGCATTCTGTTGTATACAAGAAACACACCTCAACCTCAAAGATGGACATTACCTCAGATTAAAGTGTCAGGAAAAGATTTTCCAATCATATGGACAAAGTAAGAAACAAGCGGGTGTAGCTGTCTCAATATCTAAAAAAGACTTCAAACTAAAATCAATCAAAAGAGATGGAGAACAATTTATACTCATAGCAGGAACAATCAGAATGCAATCTCAATCCTGAATATCTATGCCCCAAATACAAGAGCACCCCCATATGTAAAAGAAGCATTATTAAAGCTTAAATCGCACATCAAATCCCACACACTAATAGTGGGAGACTTCGACATCCCACTCTCACTGATGGACAGGTCAACTGATGGAGGTGGGTCTTGTATCTTATCTGTTGCTTTCATTGGTTAATAATAAAGAAACTGCCTCGGCCCTCATAGGACAGAAAATTAGGTAGGTGGAGTAAACAGAAGAGAATGCTGGGAAAAAGAAGCTGAGTCAGGAGTCGCCATGGTTCTCCCACTCCAGACAGACACAGGTTAAGATCTTCTCTGGTAAGCCAGCTCGTGGGCTACACAGAATATTAGAAATGGGTTAGATCAATATGTAAGAGCTAGCCAATAAGAAACTGGAATTTATGGGCCAGGCAGTGTTTAAAAAAATACAGTTTCCATGTAATTATTTCGGGGCATAACCTAGCCATGCGGGCGGCCGGGTGCCAGGGACGCAGCCCTGCCGCTCCTACTACAACAGGTCAACCAGACAGAAACTTAATAGAGAAACAAGAGAACTGACAGATGTCATGACTCAAATGGAATTATCAGACATCTACAGAACATTCCACCCAAACACAAAAGAATATACCTTCTTCTCAGCACCAAATGGAACCTTCTCTAAAATTGACCACATACTTGGTAACAAGGCAAACCTCAACAGATATAAAAAATTTGAAGTAATCCTCTGTATTTTATCGGATTACCATGGTTTAAAATTAGAATACAACAGCAACACTAATTTCAGAAAACCCACAAACACATGGAAATTAAACAGTGCTCTATTGAACCACCCTGGGTCAAAGAAGAAATAAAGAAAGAAAACAGCACACCTGAATGTTCTAGAACAAAAAGAAGCAGACTCACCCAGGAGGAGTAGAAGACAGGAAATAATCAAATTGAGGGCAGAAATCAACAAAAAAAGATACAAAGGAAACAATATAAAGAATCAGTGAAACAGAACTGGTTCTTTGAGAAAAATCAACAAGATAGACAAACCCTTATCCAAACTAATCAAAAGGCAGAGAGAGGGAGGGAGAATATCTAAATTAACAAAATAAGAAATGAAAAGGGGGACGTAACAACAGATACTGAGGAAATCCAGAGAATCATTAGGTCATACTACAAAAACCCGTACTCCACAGAATTGGAAAACTGAAAAGAAATGGACAATTTTCTGGATAGGCACCACATACCAAAATTAAATGAAGACCAGGAGAGCAATTTAAATAGACCATAACCTGCAAGGAAATAGAAGCTGTCATCAAATGCCTACCAAACAAAAAACAGAGCCCAGGGCCAGATAGTTTCAGTGGAGAATTCTATCAGAACTTCAAAGAGCTAATACCTATACTCAAAGTGTTCCACAAAATAGAAAGAGAAGGAACACTGCCAAACTCTATAAGGCTACAGTTACCCTGATACCAAAACCACACAAAGACTCAACCAAGAAAGAGAATTACAGACCAATCTCTCATGAACAAGGAGACAAATAATAAAATACTGGCAAACCAAATCCAAGAACACATGAAAAAAAAATCATCCACCACGATCAAGTCGGCTTCTTCCCAGAGATGCAGGGATAGTTCAACATCTGGAAATCTATCAATGTAATTCACCACATAAATAAACTGAAACAAACAAACCCACAAGGTCATCTCATTAGATGTTGAAAAGCATTTGACAAAATCCAACACCCCTTTATGATAAAGGCCTTGAAGAGATCAGGGACACAAGGAACATGGCATCTACACATAATAAAAACAATAAACAGCAAGCCAACAACCAACATTCAAATTAAATGAAGAGAAACTCAAAGAGATCCCACTAAAATCAGGAACAAGAGAAGGTTGTCCATTTTCTCCACATCTATTCAACATAGTTCTTGAAGTTCTGGCTAGAGCAATAAGAGAACAAAAGGAGATCAAGGGGATTCAAATTGGAAAGGGAGAAGTCAAACTTTCGTTATTTGCAGATGATACGATAATATACATAAGTGACCCCAAAACTTCTACTAGGGGACTTCTACATTTGATAAATACATTCAGTAATGTGGCAGGATACAAGAGCAACTAAAAAAAAATCAGCAGCACTCTTATATACAAAGGATAAAGAAGCTGAGAGGGAAATCAGAGGAACATCACCCTTCACAATAGCCACAAATAACATAAAATACCTTGGGGTAACCCTAACCAAAGAAGTGAAAGACCTGTTCGACAAAAACTTTAAAGTCTTTGAAGAAAAAAATTGAAGATACCAGAAAATGAAAAGATCTCTCATGCTCTTGGATAGGTAGGATCAACATAAGAAAAATGGCAATCCTACCAAAAGCAATCTATAGATCCAATGCAATCCCCATCAAAATCCCAACACAATTCTTCATAGACTCTGAAAGAACAATATTCAACTTCATATGGAAAACCAAAAAACCCAGGACAGTCAAAACAATCCTGTACAATAAAGGAACTTCCGGAGGCATCACCATCCTTGACTGAGTTCTATTATAGAGCTACAGTAATGAAAACAGCTTGATACTGGCATAAAAACAGAGAGGTCGACCAAGGGAATTGAATCGAAGATCTGGATGTTAATCCACACACCTATAAACACCTGATTTTTGATAAAGAAGCTAAAATTATACAATAAAAAGAAAGCATCTTCAACAAATGGTGGTGGCATAACTGGATGTCAACATGTAGAAGAATGAAAACAAATCCTTATTTATCCCCATGCACAAATCTCAAGTCCAAATGGATTAAAGACCTCCATCTAAATCTGACCACACTGAACCTGATAGAAGAGAAAGTGGGAAGGAGTCTTCAATGCATGGGCACAGGAGACCACTTCCTAAACTATAACAACAGCAGCACAGACACTGAAAGCAACAATAAATAAATGGGACCTCCTGAAACGGAGAAGCTTCTGTAAAGCAAAGGACACGGTCAGTAAGACAAAGGCAGCCTACTGAATGGGAAAAGATCTTCACCAACCCCACATCAGACAGAGGACTGATCTCCAAAATATATAAAGAACTCAAGAAATTAGACATCAAATTTCCAAATAACTCAATTAAAAAATGGGGGACAGGGGCTGGAGAGATGGCTCAGTGGTTAAGAGCACTGCCTGCTCTTCCAAAGGTCCTGAGTTCAATTCCCAGCAACCACATGGTGGCTCACAACCATCTATAATGGGGTCTGGTGCCCTCTTCTGGCCTGCGGGCATACACATAGATAGAATATTGTATACATAATAAAGAAATAAATATTTAAAAAGAAAAGAAAAAAGTCGGAGGTGGAGCTAGAAGAAGTTACTGGCAGGAATCAATGACTATTATCAAAAACATTGTATGCATGTATGAAATTATCGAAGAATAAAAATATATTAAAAATACAACAAAATCCTTTAAAAAAAATGGGGGACAGAACTAAACAGAATGTTCAACAGAAGAATCTCAAATGGCCGAAAGACACTTCAGGAAATGTTCAACATCCTTAGCCATCAGGGAATTGCAAATCAAAACAACTCTGAGATACCATCTAACACCAGTCAGAATGGCTAAGATCAAAACCACCAATGATAGCTTATGCTGGAGAGGATGTGGAGTAAGGGTTTTGCTGGTGGGAATGTAAACTTGTACAAGCACTTCATAAATCAGTACGGTGGTTTCTCAGAAAATTGGGAATCAGCCTACCTCAGGACCCAGCAGTATCACTCTTGGGCATATACCCAAAAGATGCTCAATCATACTATAAGGACACTTATTGAACTATGTACACAGCGGCATTATTTGTAATAGTCAAAACCTGGAAACAACCTAGTTGCTCCTCAACCCAGGAACGGATAAAGAAAATGT